CTTCTTTTTCTCTCTCTCTTTCTCTATTTTCCATTCTTCATTTCTCTCCTGTTCACTCCTCCTCTCCTCTATTCTCTTCTTCCTTTCTCCTGTCTTTTATCACCCTGATCTCTCCTCTCTTCCTCCTCTACCTCCCCTCTCTTCCGCTCTCTCGCTTTCTTTCTCTCTCCTCCTCTTCTACCTCCCGTCTCCGCTCCCTCCTTCTGTATCTCTCTCTTTCTCTCTCCCCTCCTCTCATCGCTCATCCCTCTTCTAGTCTCTCTCGCTCTCTCCCTCCGCTCTTCTTTCCTATCTTTTCCCTCTTCCTTTGTGTCATCTCTCTCTTTCCTCTCCTTCTCTCTCTCCCTCACACTTTTTTCTCTCTCTCTATCTCTCTCTGTCCCTCTCCTTCTCTCCATCTTTCCTCTCCTCCTCTTCTATCTCCTCTCTCCCCCGTCTTTCTATCTCTCCGTCTCTCCTCTCTTGTTCCCTATCTTTACCCCTCTTCCTTTGTCTCATCCCTCTCTTTCCTCTCCTCCTCCTCTCTTTCCTTTCCTTTCTTTCCTCTCTCCTCCTCTGTCCTCCTCCCTCTCTTTCCTCTCCTCCTCTCTCCTCCCTCTTCTAGTCTATCTCTCTTCTCTTCTTCCCTATCTTCTCCCTCTCTTGTTGTCTCATCTCTCTTTCCTCTCCTCCGCCCTCCCTCCATGCCTCCCTCTCTCCTCCCTTTCTCCGTCTTCCATTGCCTCATCTCTCTCTCTCTCTCTCCTCCCTCTCCATCCATCCCTCCCGCTCTCCATCTCCTGTTGTCTCATCTCTCTCTCTGTCCCTCTCCTCCTCTCTCCATCCCTCGCTCTTTCTTCTCTTTCTCCATCTCCTGTTGTCTCATCTCTCTCTTTCCTCTCCTCCTCCCTCTCCACCCATCCCTCCCTTTCTCCCTCTCCTGTCACCTCATCTCTGTCTCTTTCCTCTCCTCCTCCTCTTTCCTCTCTCCTCCTTTTTCCGTCTCCCATTGCCTCATCTCTCTTTTCTTCTCCTCTGTCCATCCATTCCTCCCGCTCTCCATCTCCTGTTGTCTCATCTCTCTCTCTCTTCTCTCCTCTCTCCTCCTCGTTCCTCTCCATCCTCTCTCCCTCTCCTGTTGTCTCATCTCTCTCCTCCCTCTCCTTCCCTCCGCTTCCTCTCCATCCTCCCTTCCTCTCTCCCTCTCCTCTCCTCTCCTCCCTCTTTCCTCTCCATCCATCCCTCCCTCTCTCCCTCTCCTGTTGCCTCATCTCTTTCTTCCCTCATCTTCCTCTTCTTTCCTCCCCATCCCTCGCTCTCTCCTCCCTCTCCCCCTCCTCGTCTTTCCTCTGCATCCCTCTCTCCCTCTCCTGTTGCCTCATCTCTCTCTTTCCTCTCCTCTCTCCTCTCTTTCCTCTCTCCTCCCTTTCTCCGTCGCCCATTGTCTCATCTCTGTCTTTCTTCTCCTCCCTCTCCATCCATCCCTCCCTCTCTTCCTCTCCTGTTGTCTCATCTCTCTCTCTGTCCCTCTCCTCCTCTCTCCATCCCTCGCTCTTTCTTCTCTTTCTCCATCTCCTGTTGTCTCATCTCTCTCTTTCCTCTCCTCCTCCCTCTCCACCCATCCCTCCCTTTCTCCCTCTCCTGTCACCTCATCTCTGTCTCTCTTTCCTCTCTCCTCCTCTTTCCTCTCTCCTCCCTTTTTCCGTCTCCCATTGCCTCATCTCTCTTTTTCTTCTCCTCCCTGTCCATCCATTCCTCCTGCTCTCCATCTCCTGTTGTCTCATCTCTCTCTCTTTCTTCTCCTCTCTCCTCCTCGTTCCTCTCCATCCCTCTCTCCCTCTCCTGTTGTCTCATCTCTCTCCTCCCTCTCCTTCCCCTCCGCTTTCCTCTCCATCCCTCCCTTCCTCTCTCCCCCTCCTCTCCTCTTCACCCTCTCTTTCCTCTCCATCCATCCCTTCCTCTCTCCCTCTCCTGTTGCCTCATCTCTCTCTTTCCTCTCCTCTTTCCTCTCTTTCCACTCTCCTCCCTTTCTCTGTTGCCCATTGTCTCATCTCTCTCTTCCCTCTCCTCCTCTTTCCTCTCCATCCCTCTCTCCTCTCCTCCCTCTCTTTCCTCTCTATCCATCCCTCTGTCCCTCTCCTGTTGCCTCATCTCTCTCTCTGTCCCTCTTCTCCTCTCTCCATCCCTCTTTCTCTCTCTCTCTGTCCCTCTCCTCCTCTCTCGATCCCTCTTTCTCCCTCCATCTCCTGTTGTCTCATCTCTCTCTCTCTCCTCTCCACCCTCTCTTTCCCTCTTCATCCATCCATCCCTCTCTCCCTCTCCTGTCGCCTCATCTCTCTCTTCCCTCTCCTCCTTCCTCCTCTGCTTTCCTCTCCATCCCTCTCGCCTCTCCTCCTCTTTCCACTTTCCTCTCTATCCATCTCTCTCCCCATCTCCTGTTGCCTCATCTCTCTCTTCCCTCTCCTCCTCCTCCTCTTCCCTCTCCATCCCTCCCTCCCGCTGCGTGGCTGGTGCCGTTGCCGCGGTAACCCTCTCCATGACGCCGTCCCGCTCTCTCTCTCTCTCTCTCTCTCTCTCTCTCTCTCTCTCTCTCTCTCTCTCTCTCTCTCTCTCTCTCTCTCTATCCGACTCCTCCGCCGCTTAAACACAAAAGCGGCTCCCGGATTCATCAAAACACACAAACAAAGAGCTCAGACTGTGGCAACATGGCCGTCTTCACAACGCGCCTCTAGAAGCTTCTGACGCCGCCTCGTCACCGTGCGCCCGTAATTACACGGGGCCGCGCTCCACACACCCGTAATCAGCACTTGGCTCGCGCTCCGAACCTCTGCGCACGCCGGCGTTTGATAAGAGCGCGCTGCAACTAGTGTAACGCGCCGCTCATGGGGACGCCGTACAGTAGTTACGCTTTCGTTTTGAGTCACGTTCTAACTGAAGATGTTATTTTTTATAGTATTATTCATTAAAAAAATGTGCGTCGTGTTCACTCATACTTTTGTAATAATGAAGCCAAATTGATGATGAAATTTCTCCCTTCGATATTTGTTGAGATAATAAAATTGAGAGTGTTTTTCGGTTTTGTGTGATTTTGTTTCTGTGATTTAAAGTGCGACCCTAAACCAGGAAACTGAATCTAGGACTAAAACCAGGTCTAAACTAGGGGACTGAAACCAGGACTGAACCAGGACTAAACCAGGTCTAAACTAGGACTGAACCAGGACTAAACCAGGTCTAAACTAGGACTAAACCAGGACTAAACCAGGACTAAACCAGGACTAAACCAGGACTAAACTAGGTCTAAACCAGGACTGAACCAGGACTAAACCAGGACTAAACCAGGTCTAAACTAGGTCTAAACCCGGACTAAACCAGGACTAAACCAGGACTAAACCAGGTCTAAACTAGGACTGAACCATGGACTGAACCAGGACTAAACCAGGTCTAAACTAGGACTAAACCAGGACTAAAACCAGGTCTAAACTAGGTCTAAACCCAGGACTAAACCCAGGACTAAACCAGGACTAAACCAGAAAACCAGGACTAAACCAGGACTAAACAGGACTAAAACCAGGTCTAAACCAGGACTAACCAGGGAACAGGACTAAACCAGGACTAAACCAGGACTAAACCAGGACTAAACCAGGACTAAACCAGGACTGAACCAGGACTAAACCAGGTCTAAACCAGGACTAAACCAGGACTAAACTATCATTCATCAGTTTTTGTTTTTGTACCTATATTGCTGCACTCCAACTTAAAACACTTGTAATTCGATATATTGTGATGGTCCATGATATTATTGTGAGACTTTTGACGATACGATATCGCGATATTTTGGTTATTGTTACATCCCTACTAAACCATGCTGGAAATCTTACGTTCTATATCACACAAAATGGATTCTTATGAGCCTTAAGTCATGTTAGAATTAGGTTGACCAGATGAGCAGATTTTCAAAATAAAAAATTGTGACACCCTCGGTTTTTGATGGCTGATAATAATAAAATTGTGATTAAAGTGCGTCATTAAGGAAAATTGTTCTGCACTCTGCCCATTAATGACAAACATGTGAGTCAGTATAGTCACATTTTCTTTGTGTTCTGGTCATTTTTAAGTAGCTTTTCTGTATTTTACCCAAACAAATACAGTTTATGCCTCTCTTTACTGTTGGCAGGGATCAGACTGGTCAAAAATAGAGACATGTCTTGTATAAAACTGGAACAAATCACTGGTTTTGAATAAATCTTCTGGCACAGGAGACACAGGGCTCAAAACTGGGACTGTCCCCGTTAAATAGGGACGTCTGGTCACCCTAGTTGTTTTGTTTCATTCGCACATGTTTGAGTATTCCTTTATTATTAATCTGTCTACATCTCCAAAGCTCAAAATCCACCTTGTGATGTCATGAAGTGGTTGTTTTCAAGTTAACAGCTTCATTTTACCTTTTTTATTAGTAGAGACTGGCAATTCCAGGGCTGAAATTGTCCAAATAATTCATTCTAGTGAAGGTGTATGGAGTTTAAAAACACAGTGGAGCACTTCCTGTATTACCACATGACATCACAAGGTGGAACAGTGTGTTTTCTGTTTGAGAGAAGAACAAAACACAACTCAGTGACACAATGGAGGGACACAATAATTTGTAATAAGGAAAAAAAAACCTTTGAGATGCTAAATATACAAAATATTACTATTGTTAGTGGTACTACTACTACTACTACTACTACTACTACTATGACTATTAGTACCATTAGTCTACTACTGCTATACTGAATCATTTCTATTTGCTGTGTTGATTTAAGTATCTGGTGTCTGGTTACTTTCAGTTTCCTTTCTACTTTTTTCTACCTCTACTTTCAAGGTTTATTTATTTTCATTAAGTACTTTACATTGATCATTTTGAAATATATTTGTGTCTGTGTGTTCTATAATCACGTCTAATATGTAGTTCTGTTTGTGTCTTGTGTCCAGGAGCTGAAGAGTTAAAGATGATCAAACCAGAGCAGAGCAGAGGGAGGGCGGTGTGGCTCTGAGCATGCTCAGTGAGTGACTTCCTCCGTGTTTGAGAGGAGCGCTCCAGTGTCTCAGTCACTCTGAGCCGCTGAAGAGGAGGAACTGCTCTGTCTGGAACACCTGGATCTGCTCTTTAAAGGATTATTCAGACACATGTGGTTTTGTTTTTTCAGCACCGAGCCTGATGTTTGACCTCGTCTGCCTTCTGGGAAATAAAAGCCTTGGATTTTTTTCATGTCTTTGAATAATTTCACCTCTCTGTGTGAGCAGCCCACGCAGCAGAGGGGATTTCTGTAACTTTGAACTTGTGCAATCGTCTGCTCCGTTTGAGGCCGATCTGATAAAGGGTTTCTGTGAAGAGGAGGAAGAAGAGGAGGAGGAGGACGAGCTCTTAAATCTGCTGCGTTTCTGTCTGAGCCACAGGTTGTCTGTGTGTGTTTAGACAGTTTGTCTTTCTGTCACACATTAACTACACAGGGCCATAGACTCTATCATGGGCTCTGAGAAGGACTCGGACTCCCCCCACTCCTCTGTGAGCGGGGTCCCTAACCCCAAATGTAAACGTCAGGGCAGGATCTCCTTCCACAGCCTGTTCCACAGTAAACGCTCCCGGGGACGTGCTTCTAAAGGGGCCCCGGCGGCCCCTGTGTCCCAGCCTCACAGCCAGCCTCTGCTGCCCTCTGCTCTGCCCTCAGGCCTCACCTCTCCACAGGACCCCCCCTCTGTCGCTCCTCCCTCTGTCTCTCCCCCCTCAGGGCTCCAGGACCCTGCTGCGCCCCTGTCCTGTAGCCGGGCGTCCCTGTCGGAGCCCGGGCTGCTGGAGTGCCCCCTGTGCCTGGTGCGCCAGCCCCCGGAGCAGCTGCCCGAGCTGGTGGGCTGTAGTCACCGCTCGTGCCTGTGCTGTCTGCGTCAGTACCTGCGCATCGAGATCACAGAGAGCAGAGTCCAGCTGAGCTGCCCCGAGTGCTCCGAGCGCCTGGTCCCTCGACAGGTGGCAGACATCTTGGACGACCCCGTCCTTCTGGAGAAATATGAGGAGTTTCTGCTCAGGAGGTGTTTGGCCTCTGATCCCGACTGTCGCTGGTGCCCGGCTCCAGACTGTGGGTAAGTCAACTTCAAGAATGAAAGTAACACAGAGTTTAAAAGATCGTTATCATAATGTCATAACATTTAATACAAAATCACTGAGGGACTTTCCGTACACTTGTACAAAGGAATGTACATTTGTTTTATCCTTTCAGAATGATAAAGTTAGAACTGTTTACCATTATAAGTAAAACATGATAATTATAATTCTATCTTTTGAATGGTTATTGTCTAAAAATGGCCCCATACAACAGGAAGCTGAAGCCCATGAATATTCTGTCTGTTGACATTTGACATGGACACATCCTTCCTTTCTCAGAGCTCCCCCAATGACTCAGCTTCCTCCTCAGGTCAGAACAGGACAATGACTTTAACTATGCTGGTACTGAGATGATTAAGTTACGATGAACACAGCAATGAAGAAGTAAACAATAAAGACAATAACACCGCTTGATTCCAAGGAACCTGCTGTGTCCCAGCCAAAACAAATCATTGCTTGAATCATCTTATCTGTTTTACATTTACTGAAAGACAGGAATTTTTATTGCTCAAAAATCCCTGTCAGCATTTAACTTGGGAACACATGCACCTTTTTCCTACTTTAAAACCGCAGCACCAAGCCAAGAATACTTTAAAATGCCAATAATACACTATTTTTGTATGTGTTATAATGTTGTTTCCTCATAAAAAACAGACCTGGAGTTGTGTTTTGTTTCATTCACACATGTTTAACTCACAAACTTTGCACATTTAGGCTGAGGTAACAACATTAGAACATGACTTAAAGCTCACGAGAGTCAATTTTATGTAACATAGCACCTTTACCCACACCACTATTTAGTTCGAACACATCTTATTACGGTACTGAAACCAGGGTAAAGGCGGTGGGTGGACTTGCCAATAGCCCTGTAGCCTAATAGAGTTTTGATGTGGTCATTTCCCAGAAGCCTCTTGGGTTTCACAGAGATGAGATCGAGGTCTAGACCCGGTGACGTCACGCGGCTTGAACTTTATTACTGCTTGAGATGTGCCCTCTGTTTTTTGTTACGGCAATTATCTGATGGAAAGGCTGGGCAGATAAGATTATGAAAGCCTGATTATGCTGGCTCTGGTTTTTTGGCAAGACGTTACAGACTCTGCTGGCAGAACAGTGTTTTTGTAGTTAGGGTAAACAAAGAGGTAACTATGAACCGGATGATTTGTGTTCAGGTGACATAATATTTAAACTTGAAGTGGAAAGCATTGGACGATTTGCTGAAATAAGTGTTTTGACTTGTTTTTGTGGTTAAAGGGCCCAGATTAAACAAGTTTTTTATCGGTTTTATAACGTTGTTTCCGCGTCACAAACAGACCTGGAGCTGTGTTTTGGTTTTGTTTACACGCTTCACTGAAATATGAAAGCTCTCCAAATTGTGATGTCATGCAGTGGTACAGGAAGTGCTCCACTGTGTTTTTAAGATCCACACACCTTCACAAGAATCATTTGGATAATTTCAGAACTAGGGGTGTGCAAAAATGATTGAAATATCGATATATCGTATCGTTTAATGCAGGGGTCTCCAACCTGTAGTCGGTAAACTTCCAAGTCGCTCGCCAAGGGAATTCTGAATTACTCTTTGTCGTGAATAAGTAAAATTTTATCAGTTAAATGCCTTTTACCATTGCACATGTATTATTTTTATTCCTAACTTTGTACACTAATAAATGGACAAGGTTTATGTTTTATAAGCTTCCTCATTTTCACTACCACATTTAAGGCTCGCCGTGGCTCTTAAATATACATTTCTAGTGATCGCTAAAACTAGCAGCTCTCTGGCATTTTTGTTTTGTAAAGGTTGGAGACCCCTGGCTTAATGTGATGATACAGTATCGATATATCGCCAAGAGTATATTTTGGTATTTTTTAGTAAATTATTTTGTTACAGCGCTACAGTTTTGTCGCTTGTTTAGAGGAAGGAAACTCGTTTATGCAATACATTTGACATTTTCACTGTTATGATGATTACAAAGACAAAGAGTAACAAAAACTTTTAGTATCACAGCCACGATTTAGTCGTTATTTTTTTATTAATTGATTAACCGTATTGAATCGATACCAAAATATATCGTATTGAATCGTATAAAATTGTAAGCTCACTGTATCGAGGTATGTATCGTATCGGCAACTTCTGAATGATACCCAGCCTTATTCAGAACTGGGATTACCAAAATTTTGTATACAAAAGGAAAAAGGAGCTGTTAACTTGAAAACTTTGTGACATCAGAAGTTGGAACAGAGTATTTTCTAGACACACGAATAATGAAGGATTACTCAAACATGTGTGAATGAAACAAAACACAACACCAGGTCTGTTTTTGATGTATACTGTAATTTAAAATGTCCAAATTATAACCTAATGATCCACAGGTATCATAGATTATAATTATATAGCAAACACAAGCACAATATGTCTTCTTTAATATACTGTAGCTTAAAACCATGTATAAATATTTCATATATTGAGTATTTTCTATAATTTCTTTCAAAACATGTGATACATTTCCTATGAAAATTATGACATTATACTGAATATTGTGAATGAAACTTGAAACATGAAACACTTCCTTATTTATCAGAAATTTGCATTTATCAGAAATACTTCCTCTGTACATTTTTTTTTTCAGAAGTTTAACCACTTGAATCTTAATTATCATCCACAATCTTCCTCTTTTGCCCACTGCAGTTCCTCACTTGAGAAATTTACTTAGTTCTGTGTCTGTGTTGTAAAAATGAAAGTAAAACGTTTTTGGTAATGACATTTTGAACATTTTCTTTCCATTCTAAGATTTTTTTTTTTGATAATTTACTGGCAAAAGTGTGCGTAGTAACTTGTGAGTACATTTGAAAATACATTTTGCCAAAACTTATGCCAATTTTAGACAATTTATAACTTTTATTTACCTCAAAGCTCCATATTTTATTAGCACCATGATCCACTTTCCCCTATACATTTGTTCTTATTGCGGGTAGAGAAAGTATACGGGTTTGCGGTCGGAGCCGGGGCATTCGTATACATTTATATATTTAGAAATCGTGTACAGTTATTGGAACAGATGAGAGGTGTCAAAAAGCAGAGGAGTGAGGACTGTGTGTTTCTCTGTGGTCGTAGTGGGACGATTCGAGACAGAAAGTAGTTCTATAGTTCAGATGTGGCTTTGGTTTTGAGTGTCGGGGAAAGTCAAGCGAGCATCGTCTAGTTTCACTTTTCAAACAGGCTGCTCGACCCCACACACAAACGCTCCTTCGATCTGCTTTATTCCGCCCACGTTTTATAAATTGTATTGATACTTTGCGGCGACGTTACGCTGGGGGGATCATAATAATACACTGGTAACACAAAGACAAGGACAGGACAGACAGTAATGAGGAAACTGTGAGGAAAAGGTGTGTTTTGAGCAGTTTTTTTGAAGTTGTTTAGCAAATACTGCATGGATGTCTATGGCAGAATGTTCAGCAGTTACCACGGTGACACGGCGCACACATTAAGCGAGCACGGCCTGATACATTTTTATTTTAGAGAGCCTGAAACTCAAGAAAAAACACACAAAAAAAGGATTCAAACAACATGTCCAAATTCAAATCCACTTTATTTATACAGCACATTTTACAAGCAGTTTCCAAAGTGCCGCACAGAGATCGTAAAATGAACATAACAGAAAAGTAAATTGCTAAAATTTGGTCATGCCAGGCCTAAAACAATAAAACCAGTCAAATCAAATAAAAGCAAAACCATAAAAATCATAAAATAGCAGTAAAAAAATAAAGGACCACACAACTCACGCTGTGTTAAAAGCCTAATAAGAATAAAAGTGGATCTTAAAGAGATTTATTCAAGAGCCTTTTCAACAAAAAAGTGAGAGTGACTAACTTAGGGTGACCAGAATTTCAAAATAAAAAACTGGGACATCCCTATTTTTGGTGATTTGGTAATACAATTGTGAAAGTGCGTAATTAAGGAAGATGTTTCCGCCGAGACCGTTTATGACGAACATGTGAGTCAGTATAGTCACATTTTCTTTGTGGTTTTTTTTTTGTCGTTTTTAAGCTGATTTTCTCTATTTTACCTAAACAGATGACAGTTTATGCCTCTCTTTACTGTCGGCAGGGATTAAATTGGTCAGAAATATTCATACCTGGGACATTTTTTTGTATAAGACTGGGACAAATCAATGGTTTTGGATAAATCTGTTGGGACAGGGAAGCCTGATTCATCAGAGGGTTTCAATTCGTGGAAACCGTCTGACCTCACAGCATTAGGATTCATTCGCTCAATGGTTGGCAGGTACTTTTTTTATTTAACTAATCGCTGCTATTTGGTCATGACGTATGTAATGTGCCACTAACGGGGATAACTGGTATATCAAGCTTTTCCCAAATCCCGTAGGAAGAAGGGCAATAACATCTTTCCCCTTGATAAAATTTACCAAACATTCTCCTTGTTCTGGCTTTAAATCCTCAATCTCGGAATTTGTTGCCAACACAGAATGTATGTCTCTTCGCTGATTGGCTGGTGCCCGAACTCACACTTCTGGGGTTTTTGAGAACCGTCTCATGTATTCCGATTCCTGACCTAGTCGCTGGAGAGAAATTAAATTATGCGGAGACATTAGGTGGCACCAGCCTGGCTAAGGACACAGGGCACAGGGCTCAAAACTGGGACTGTCCCGAGTAAATAGAGACGTCTGGTCACTCTAGACTAACTGAAAAACTGCTAAATCTGCTCACCTGTTGTAGTTCCAGCTAAATAATTACTTTATGGTCAAATAGTGTTGAAACAAAGTTCAGATTAAAGTCAAACTTGAGTAACAAAGCTTCAGATGGAGCAGAGCCTACAGTTAGCTCTACTCCTCCAGGGAATATTGACAACATCAGGAGCAACGTGTGATTAAAACAGAACATTTTACACAAATTGACCTATGTTCACGTGCACCGACAAGTTAACAAATCTCTGAATGGTTTGACAATCATGTATTTGCTG